GCCTGAACATTGTTCCAACGAAAATGCGCTTTTTTCAAATTGTATATAATGCGATCGGTGGTAGTTAACCCTACATGAAGGAAATAAAATTTCTCCTAACATACTTATTAAATTCCATTCCCCGCTTGGGATGTATGTTGAGAGATCCATCGCTGATACTGAAAATAAGAGCACAATGAAGAATTGAACATTGAAGTGGACAGAGGAAGAAAATGCTGAATTTGCTTAATGTTGTTGTAGCTATAATTCATTTATTAGGTTTATAAACCCTAAAATGACACTCCGGGCGATTCAAGTGAGATCGGCAATCTTCTAATCAAATAAGCTCTAAAAAAAAGAAGAAGAAAATATAAGACACAATACACGAACAAGAATATTTCGTCCCCTCAAGAGAGGCTTTTTTGCTTTTTTAGAATTTCTCTCATTACGGAGGAAAGTGTGAACCTTTCTTTTGAGTTTTCTTTTCTCATCTAATAGTGCCTCAATGTTGTTGATGGAACCATGAGATACTAGAAAAAGTTCAAAAATGTCTAATATTATTATTAGTTCTTTGAAGATTTGATTCATTTTTATTTTGAAAGATTTATTTCAAAAAAATTCAAAATAGCCCGCCTCCATTTTCTTCCATAATAATTCGAAGGTCCATAGAATTTTTGTTGTAGGTCCACGATCCAAACTGAAAATGTAATTTGTTGAAGTCACATAATCAAATCAAATAATCACTAAATATAATTCTCTTCAATCCTACTTCAAAAAGTTCGAGTCATTATTTAGCACTATCCCCTTAATTAGCTAACTGCCCTGTATATGTGCTTATACTTGATAGCGAGCAGCTCGAGTAGAGACAGAGACTAGTCAAATATTTATCAAGACAAAAGAACTACAGGGAAAAAAATTCGACTGAATTAGAATGGGAGGTACTCAGTCTTACAGTATCCACTTACTAAAAGATGAGTACTATTTGAGATCATGTACTCGCTAACATTAAAAAAATCAGGAATAGAATTCCTTCTCTTTTTTTTTACCGATTATCGCAGAAGGCATACTTTTCAGATGACTGCAATATTGTTTTTGTACTCGAAAACAAGATCTACAATTTAATTACTATGGTATCCTTTAATGAAGAGCCTTTCAGCGTATCTTTGCGAGCGTAATGTATTCCTCTTTAAATCCCAAAAAAGATGCTTTTTTTAGAAGAGTTATTCTGTAAACTCATTTGTAAATCTGAAGATTATTTGCAGCAAAATTGTGAACGTTCCCTAAGAGATCTTAGAATTGA